GTCAGAGAGGGAGAAAGGAGTCAGAGAAGGGGGGGAGTAAACAAGGGATTGGGGGGGATGGACCCTCTACCCTGCTCCCTGATCTACTGTCCTGCTTGGAGAACAGCCACATTCCCACCCACCCCCATCTCACTGCTGGGATCCTCTCCCTTCCTTAATGTTCCAACCATGGAGCCTGCCCTCCCAATGTCTGCCAACTTCTCCAGCTGTCTGCATTGAAATTTAGTTATCTCCTAAACCGTAAGTTCACTGCCAGGCTCTCTATGCCTTTCAGGATGACAAACAGCCAACCTAGTAAGGTCTCTCATGTTAATGAAAGGTGGGGAGACTGCCTTTGATAATGTCTTTATAATCAACTCAAGAAATAGTGATAATGGTGGAAAACTCAGGAGAGGTGTGAAATTACCATGGAGTAAGCCTAGGACCCAGAAATAGTATTGCAGCTGCCTACTTTGCCATCAACTACACAGCCCTGGAGTGACCTGCAACAACATAGATGTCAGAACACAACAAAGCAGCTCCAGAGGGAGATTACATATACATCTCTTCCTGATTCCCAATCGAGATTAGGTGCTAAACCTTAATCTTATAGGGATTAGACCATTCTCTGGAATAGGATAAGCAAAGTCAAATCCTCTCAGACACAAAATGAGGCCAGGAGGAGTAATAGGGACATGAGGCTGTCTTCAATAGCTGAAAGGCTGTCACATGGAAGAATGCTTGCTTTGTGTGGTTCCAGAGGGCAGGACCAGGACCAAATGGTGGCAACAGCAGGCTGCTACTCTGGTGCCATTTAAGGACTTTCTAATAAGGAGAATTGGTCCCCCCCCCCCCCAAAAAATGTAACATGCAGCTTCATGAGAGTGATTGCAGGTATTCAAACTGAGGCTGAATGACAACCTGTTATGGATAGAGATGAGATGGCTGCACTGGGGGGAAGGCTGCACTGGGGGGAAGGCTGGACTATAAAACTAAAGACCCTTTCACATATGAAATACTAGAACTCTGAGCAATTACTGCTCCCAGGCTTAGAAAGTTGGCTTCCCAAAGCCATCGCTTTGTATTGGGGAAAGCTAATTCTTAACCACAGGCATACATCACATTTAGGGAGCCAGAGTTTCAGTGATCTGTATCTGCCTGAGAATCGCAGCAGAAAGAGCACCTCCAGGATTGCTGCTAGCAAACACTTCAAACCTGCAGATCTCATAATCAACAAGTATGAAGGGGGAACTTTGCAGTAATGTGCACGCAGTTGGCAATGTTTATATTTCTGCCTAGATTGCTATCTATGTTCAAAGTGCAAGTTGGCCTTCTGCCTAGGAGAGAAGATCAAGGGCAGAGGGGAACACTTGGCAACTCTTGAAATAAAAGAATATGAGATTTTCCTTTTATACCCACACATACCCACACCCCCCCACAAACACACACAACCCCCCACACACACACCCCCCACACACCCCCCCACACACACAGACACACAGACACAGACGCCCATCTCAAGAGGTTGGAGGAGGGAAGAGTATTACACAGAGGAGCAAGAGAAGGACCGGTAAAGACTTTTAAGGTGTAAAAAATGAACCTGAGGACCTTCCCAAAGAAGAAGCTGGATGCTCTGAAGAGGAAGCACACGCTGGTACTCTAACAGCTCTTCTCACCCACGTGGGGTCGCGACCCGCAGTTAAAGAAGCGCCGAAGAGGTCGTGAATGGAAAAAGTTTAAGAAGCCCTGCACTATGAGATGAACCCAGGTGCTGTCAGCTGAAGGATTGCTTTGTAAGGGTCGGAGAAGAAGAGGCAAATGATGCTGGTGGGTAGACTGCCTGCTAAGCAGGCACCGAGGAGGTTATTTGCTGGCCTGATGAGAAAGACCTGCTGTCTTCCCAGGCCATGTCTCCTAGATGGGACAGACAATTTGTTCACAAGACTTGTTCAACCTACTTCTGGTTTGTACTGGGGAACGTACGTTACTTCCAGAAGTAACCTAGAAAAGCACTGTTAAGGATTATGTGGTTACTGGCAAGAAAATGAAAATCTTACGAGCACAGATGTTGTTTTATCACTACTATCCACTGAAGAACAAGGGATTCAGAAATGAAAGGGAGATTTTGGAAGAGCTCAGCTGGCTAAAAAGATGGCATTTGAGAATGGGATTTGCATTTCTGGACCATGGCTTAAAATACGAGAATAACACGATCCTAGTCAAGGATGGGGCATACCTAACAAGAACTGGTAAGAATATATTTGCCTGAAGGCAAAAATGTCTGTGTATATCCACTAAACTAGACACCAAGGAGAATAGTTACAATGCAGAACTAGAATAGAAATGCTCAGGGATTCACAGGAGACACAATCCTAGGGAGGAGTCAGTTTGAAGGGGAATTTAATATAAAACCTACAGCCTCAGATGATTATACATAAATACATACAGGATAGATAGTAACAAGGCAAGGTGGACAAAGGAGTCAAATTCAACCTCTTAGATCTATCGCTGAAACATAACTAGAACATAGCTTTGAACTCATATGCCTTACATTCAAAGTAAACAGGATTGTTAAAGTGAGAGGGAACAGCAATATCTATAAAAATGTTAACACTAGAAAATCCAGGAACCAGAAGATGGAAGCATGGTGAACAATTAGGTCAAGATCAGCAGAGAGAAAAAGAACTGATACTGCCCGCAGAGTGTATTACAGACCACCTCGAAAGAGAGAAAAATCAATGTGGAGTTCAGCAGATCTCAAGCCTGGCACAAAAGTATGATAGGGTAGTTGTGAAAGACTTCAGTTACCTGGACATCTGCCTGGTGTTTTCTGTCAGAAGCAACTAATAATTTCATAACTTTCCTTAATGATAATTTCATCCTTCAAAAGGATGAGAAGCCAATAAAGGCAAATTCTGTTCTGTACCTGATTCTTCTTACAAACACGAGGGGAAATGAATGGAAACCTTGAGGAGAGGGACAATTCCACTGGAGAACAGAAGTGGATACAGAAGAAAAGCCAGGCATTGTCTAACATGAGACCTACATTTTTGAGATGGGAAATTCCAAAGGGTTCTGAGAAAAGTTAGGTAGAATCCTATACCCTGAAAGTCTATAGAGAAGTCAGCCCAGGAGGGCTATGATGACAAGCCCTAAAGAACTCTGAAGACACAGAGAAATAATTCCAACAAGGGGCAAAAAGGAGATAAGACTTATGTGGCTGCACAAGTACCCATCCCATCCACCAATTTAAATATTAAAAAGATATAAGTACCAACAGGTAACAAAGGATAAATATGAAAGAATGGCATAATTTTATAAAGAATGCTAAAGCAAAAAAAGCAGATGTCCATGAATTGGGCAACAGCTAAACAGTGGTACATGAATGTAATGGACCATTACTGTACCGTATTAAAGGATGACCTCAGGAAAGACATATGAACCGATACAAACTGAAGTAGAGAATCAAGAAAGCAACATATACTACAACCATGGAAAAGGAAAAATTAAAACAAGGAAAGGAAAATATTAAAACAATCTTGTATAATTAAAATGAGCAAATATGGACCTGAAGAAGAAATAAGAATGAACCTCTCTCTTCTCCCTCAAGCACCATGGCAAGGGGTCTATGGTGTGAAACTCTGCATTGGTTAATATGTTGGTTAGTTTTCCTGAACTCTTTCCTTCTTACTCTTTATCATGAGAGATGGTTCTCTGGGATGGGGGAGGGAAAGACTATATTGGAAAATGAAAAGTGCTGTAAAAATAAAAGTTAGTGAGAAAAATTTAAAACAGGCAAAAAATGCCAGGAATGAACTGAATCTGGCAGGCCAAGCTAAGGATAACAAACAGGGCAATGTTGGGGGAAAAGGGAGAATCAAAGAGGGGAATGAACTGCTACTAGGGGTGCATAGGAAGCTGCACAAATCCTGTTTTGCATCTGTTTTCTATGCCAAGGAGAAAGATCTTTGGTCTGCAAAGAACAGAACAAAAACAGTTAACAGAAGCTGATACCCAACATAAAAGTTAAAGCAATAGTAAAGGGAAGGCCTAAGAGCTGCTTAAGTCAAATCACCCAGCCCAGACGAACTGCATCTTAAGAGTGCTTAAAGAACTGGCACATGTGATTACGGAGCCATTGTCAGTGACCTTTGAAAAGTTACAAAAATTGGAGAGGTACCAACAGGAAAGGGAGACAAGGGAACCTGAAAATCACAGACCCGTGAGATTGACTTTGTTAACTGGCAAAATTCTAGAAGGTTATCATTAGAAGGATAGGTAGTAAACATCTAGAAAAGAGGGTCACAATGAGCTGGTATGATTTCAGCCAAGAACAGGTCATGTTGGTCTTATTTCCTTTCTTTGAGAGGGTCACTAGATTAGTAGCAAGTCAGAGAAATATTATATAATTTGCCTAAATTCTAGCAAATCATTTGATACAGTCTTTAATGCTACTCTTGGGAAAAACAGAGATATGTGGGCTAACTGATCTTGTTATAATTAGGTGGATTTGGAACTGGATGAATGGCCAGTCCCAAGGAGTAGTTATTAATGGTTCAATGTAATCTTGGACAGTTACAGATGAAGGGCCCCAAGGATCTGTGTGTGGATCCAAACTACCTAAGATTTTTCTCCCTGACATGGGAAAAAAACCATAAAGAACACGCTTATCAAATTTGCAGATGACAAAAAACTGAGAGGCCTAGCTAAGAAAATGGCTGATAATGATTTTTTTAAATTCCCAAAGATAAAACATTAAGTAAAACTGAAAATGATAAAATTTAATGGGGATAAACGAAAAGTCTCACACTTGAGTTTAAAACATCAGTTTCACAAAACTAAGAAGGGAGAAATATGGCCAGACAACAGTTCATCTGGAAATGTTATGTGAGTTTTAATAGCCTACAAGCTCAATATTAGTCAACAGTGGAACATTGTAGACAAGAAATCTTTTTTGTTTGCTTTTTTAACAATCACTGTTCTTTAAGGGAAATTAGGATAGAAATAAACTTTAATATACATAAAATTATACCATGGCATTTTATTATTGCATCCAAATGAATGCTTATTCATCTTGTGCTATTGTTTTTTACATATTCCAAGTAAAAAGTCCTCTGAGTGAGGGCTTTCACATATTTCACATTTGTAAGACAAACTCAGTAGACAAGAAATCTAACATCATCTTAGGCTGCCTTAAGAGACAGTGTCCATTAAGTGATGGTCCCACTGTCCTATGCCCTGCTCAGACCAGGAAAACTGCTGGAATACTGTATTCATTTATGAGTACCACTTAGGAAGGGCAATGATAACTTGAAGAGGACCACTCCAGATAATGAAGGGCCTCAAATTCTTGCCATACATAGTTCAGATGAAATAAATGTAGATAAAGAAGAAAAGACTGGGGGTAGGGAGACACAACAGCAATCTTCAAGAATTGCCAAGACTATCTTCTGGAAGAACTACTCATAAAACATGTTCTCCTTGGCCTCAGAAGGCAAAACTAGGAGAGGTGAGTACAAGTTGCCGAAGGAGCAAATTTAAGCCATGAGACAAATTTTTTAACAATGCTATCCCACAATGGAACGGGCTGTCTCAGGAATCAGTGGATTACACATCACTTGAGGTCTTTAAAAAAAAGCAGATGACCATTTGTTGGCTATGCTGTAGAAGAAATCTTTCTTAAAGTACAGGCTGGACTAATATCTTCTCAAGGCCCTTCCAATTCTGAGAATATGTGATTTCTCTATATGGAACAGTTAAGGAAAGTGCTTGGCACAGAATACTACTCAGGACCCCCAAGTCTTATTTAGCTCTTATCCACTATACCCCGCACACTCACATGTGCCTTTTTAAGAACAGCTGTGTTGCTAGAGGACCTCTAAAATCAGATATGATTGGGTTGCCAGGACTCACTCTCAAGAGCAAGTGAGCAGCATCCACCTTCATCTGCCCACCGTATTCCTGTTTAGTCTTGAAGTCACTTATGACTATCTATTATCCACAAAATAATTCAGTATCATGCCTGACTGAAAAGACATTTGCCCAAACCCAGTCAAGCCACAGCTAGAAGACCAAAGTGATCCTGTACACATTTCCTCAGTGTACCCCTCACCACTCAGGAACACTGCCTGGAAGATCAAGCCTGCATCAACAAAGATTAGAGGTTCAAGAGAGTTAATTTTTAATTTAAGGGCTTCCAGATCTTCTGCCTCCTACCATGGTTTTCAGTATGCTAACCCTGCTAAGTACTATTTGTGGAGAGAGAAGCTAATTTTGCCAGCTTTTAAAACAACAACATAAGCATTTTATTTCCATTAAGCATCTTAGTATCACAATGGAATGATGAGAAAACAATAACAAAAACATAAGTCTTTCTAATCTCTGCAAATAGCAGAGATGTAAAGGGGGAGGGATGGGAGGAAGGGAAGGGTGGGACAGGAGAGAATAGGGAGTGACAGAAGTGCCAGAACAGTTCTGATGTCACATTTCTCCTTCGACAGCCTTGGGAGGAGGGAGTGGGTGCAAGAAGGCGGAATGATGCGAAGGTACAAATGTCTTAAGTTGTCTTTGGCGTTTCTGCCTCATGATTGATATACACATGATCTGCACAGACCACCCACTGAAATCTCTGGACGTCACAGAAAGTGCTAAGACCCTAATACCTGACAACAAGACTCTCCGTCCTCTCCAAATGCCCTGGTAACTACAACTGGTGTTTAGACACATCCTGAAGACAGTGCTGGTGAGTCACCTGGGGCTGAGGCAGGAACAAAGGGTGGAGGATGGGAGGTTAGGTTATAGATGGAGCCCAGGGTGCAAATTCACCAACATGTGTCCATGGTGTGCCCCAAGAGGTCTGAGAGAAAGGAGGTGGAGGTGGTGGTGGCAGCAGCGGCAGAAGTACAGATCTGTTGGGACAGTAAACAGAACAAGGGTCCAGTGCAGACACTATAGCTTCACTGTGCCAGGGGGCAAACTGTCATTGCAAAGTCTGTAGTAGCGCAGGTCGTTTACCAGTCGGTGCACATTCTGGGTGAACGATGGCAGGTCCTGAAAGACAGAAACACAGGGCTGTAGCAACCAAGACGCCTGTAGGAATAAGCCCCACTGACTCAAAAACAGACCTGGTTTACAAATCTAGCTAGGGTTCCCTCCCTTGTCTCAGTCAATCTCCGTACCCACATTGCCGTTCCCTGTGTGGTCTTGGGACGGACCAAATCTGTTAAAAGACCTTTAGGATCAAGAGGGATTAAAAGCTTTGTCTACAGTTCTCAGTCCACCTTCCGTGAAAAATGAAATATCTTAATCATTTAAATGCAATAGATACTAAATCTGAAATTTAATCTATAATTCTTGGTTGGATCAGTACAGGTTTCTGAACATTAACCTCTCCAAACGCAAGCTGCTCATTACAAAAGCCAAGTGAATTGAAAAATGGGAGTGAGGCCTCTTCAGGTAAAATGGGACACCAGTTTGGAATTTTAACCACTCAGTTCAGTTTGTCATCACAAAAGAAACCAGCTCCACAAAAATACTACCAAAAAAAACCTCTTGAAGAAGGCCTCTCTCTCTCTACCTACCTCAGTCTCCCCCCTCACTAAAAGTCAAGTCCCTACACAGCCTTGCCCATACTAGTTCCTCCCAAAGAACTAACATGGAGCTAATGAGTGGCTCCTTCCTGAGATAATAGACAAAGCTTTTTTTAAAGTCAGTTTTATCAATATGGATGGAAGAATGAAGATACTGACAACCAAAAAATTAAACACACGCAGATGCAGGCACACACGCATGCATGCGTGTGAGCACAAAACATATCACACAAGGAAGAGTCATAGAAATAAAGTTGGAAGGTTTTCTAGTGCGACCTTTTCAACCCATGCAAAATTACCTCTACAACATTTCTACTGAGTAGAGAACATGGTTAGAAATTATACTGAAGTGTTAAAGCTGAAGGAAACAACTGCTAGTGATTTCCCTTCCTGACTGATCCTCAAGAGAAAAAACTTGGGCATTTATTGAATTTAAAAGAGAAAAAGAAAGAAAATAGCATTGGAAAGTGATCATCAACAGCTGATCTAATTTAGACTTTGTGAGGGAAAACTCCAGGGGTTTCAGCAAATCACTGCATCATTCACTCACCAAATATACCTGACCATGCTCCGCCCTGATTTCCACCTAACACCCCCAGTTCATTCTCACAAGCTAAGGACTACTGCCACACCACCTGACTTGTAGGGACTTAGATCCCCACTGGTTGTCCTTGTCTAGATGTGGAAAAACTCCTCTGCCCTCAGTTGAGTTGAGGAGCTGGGTGAAAATTCCTGATAGAGAAAAGTCCAAGGGTCTATTATTAACATTGCTGATTCCTTCTCACCTGAGGCTTTCCCTGAACAACTGGGAACAAACTAGGACCAACTAGGTGGTGCAGAGCAAAGAGCATGAAATCTGGAGTTAAGAGGAATCCCAGTCCTGCTACTTACCACCCCTATGACCTTAAGCAAGTCACTTACGAACTTCTCTGGGCCTTAGCTTCCTCATCTGTAAAATGAGGGTGCTGGATCAGAGGACCTCTTGGTTCCCTTTCCAACTCTAAATCTGTGATCTTATGCCCAGCAGCCACAGAGAAGATGACCAAAGGAAACAGGTGTGGTGGACTGGGTTTTGCATCATAAAGAAAAGTAAAGACTGTTCTCAACAGAAGTACTAAAGCCTGTGTGGGAGGCTTGAGCAACAGTCTAGAGGCATTAGGACAAAACTGCCAGATCCTGAACACTAAAGACACGATCCCCTTAACTATATGCCTATTAAGACAAATAAGCAAAGATATGCCTGGCATGTAGCCTACAGGAATCTCAATAAGGAAACTGGCTATTCCTCAAAAGTACCAGTCACATCATCCCCTGTGCCAGCTAACAACCACAAGTGACTATCAAACATCTTTTTACTGACCCAACTAGCTCAGAATGTTGATGACCATTTCAAGACTTCTGAAATCAGTTGGAAAGTAAGGAAGAAGAGACAAAGGTCAAAATTTCCTTATAATTTTTTCCAATAACTAGAGAAGCTTTACGTCATTTGTAGCAAGATATCACTCAGCCATTTCCTAGGCCTGTTAAGGCAAGAAACACATTTTGAGGATTGATTTTGCCATCAAGCATTCAGAGGACATCTACTGACTTCAACATATGCCCAAACAGGGCAGAAACCTCTTTGAAATCTCTTTTTTCTAAGTCCTGTAGTCATGTCTGAGGCATCTCTAACAAAAAACAAAAAAAAAAAAAAAAACAAAAAAAAAAAAAAAAAAAAAAAAAAACAAAAAAAAAAAGGGAAATTAGAACATTGAAAATTAATGTCAGTAGGGTGAATTTCAAAAAGCCTCAGTAAGTAATAGCAGAATGGATCACATGCTCGCTATGACAAAGAAGAACAGAGGATCTAAGGGGTAAAGAAAAAACTGTGAAAACACATATAAAACTCAAGGAAAGTGAGAAGAAACTTAACTAAGAGATATAGAAAAACCTCAAGTTTAGGAACAAAGTGTAAGCCAAATAGCCAGAGAATTCAGAGAAACCTCAAAAGGCTGTGGGAATAAAGAAAACCAAAGGGGAAAAATGGGAGGAGGTAGTTGTAATTTCTTATGTACTACAAATATGTACTCTTCATATCTACCAGACATTAAGAAGAAAAATGGAAATTCTATTTCTTTATTATACAGGGAAAGAGAGATAAAAAACAGACTGCAATAAATAATAAACATAATAATAAATAACAGACTGCAATAAAGCAACAAAGACTCTCCCACAAAAGGTCAATAATTCTGACCAGACAACTAAAGTCAGTCTTGTCAAGAAGGACAAGCTGGAAATAAGGATAACAATGAATGAAATTAGCTGGTGTGTCCATCAGCCCAAGGCCCAGTTAGCTTGACATGTAGCCTGTGCTGCTAACAAGCAGGGGCCTGCAATCTGTTTCCACCTCTAACTTTCCTTTGGCTACTGTCACAATGAAAGGGCTACAGGAACTGCACAAGACACCTGCCTGGACCTCCTCTTCTTTCTTCAATGGCTCCAGTTCAGAAACAGTCAGGCAACTGGCAAAGGAGGCAGGCAAATACTTCTTTGACCTGCATGACTACATTAGTTAATACTGTGAAGAATACTGGGAAGACTAATAAAGAACCCTAAGCAAAAGCCAGGATAAGAGACTAATCAACTAACCTTTAATACCTGGAGAAATATATAACTAATCGAGTGTTCAATATTCATATGTTATGATGACCACAGGGTGTGGAATAAACACCATAACATTAAGTAACACAAATTGTATCAGACTAAATAAATGTACACCTACAACATTTCTTGGAGATGTAAGTTAAGTGATCATTTTAGCTTCAGGAAAGGTTTCGACTGGTCCTATAAGACATGTTTGTTGGTCAGATAGAAAAATGAAGGCAGCATTTATTAAGTAATTACTATGTGCCAGGTACTGTGCTAATACCAGCACAGTGTGTTCAGCTAACAGCAAAGCCACTTTTCAAGCAGAGTTCTGGAAGTTCAGGAAGCAACCACCCCCAGCTAATGGGCTTCCTACTTAATGTACATCCCAAATTGGTTATTCGAACTAGGGCAGAAACACTAATCAATTTCATAGAACACTTCCTTCCTCAAAGCCAAAGCAAGAGAAAGAGCAAAGTCAAACTAAGTACATAAGACACTGAGAAAATCTAGTGGGTACTATATGAATCACTGGCAAGCTAAGTGTTAGTACAAACTAACTATTCAGGTCCTTACCATCCCCGGAATTGGAGTAACACAACCTCCCTCTGATGAACTGGTGCCTCTGGCCATGAGGTTGCCCAAACCCGCCCTTCCCTGTGGCCTGGCCTCTCTTTCCTCTCACCCGATCCATTTTGAAATTCCTCCCCAGAACATTTTTCTGGTTGGAATCCACACCATCACAGTTAGACAGAAACTCTGGGAGGAAGGCTGCATAGAAGCTGTCAAAGTCAACTGAAGCCATGTTGTAAATGGCAATCCCTATCTCTTCTTGCAGCAGGTCATGTGACTTGTGGACCAGGACTTGGAGCAGCACATTCACAAACTGAAACAGCATGGTGGTCCGAAAGATCTTCTGCAGGTAGAAAAGATGACAGTTTTCAATATATATGGCCACAGTCAGCACCAGGAAACCCCTACCTCTGAGTCCCCCCCAAGCAGGTAGGCAAATGCCAAGTACTCAAGAAATTACTAATCTAAGAAAATGGACTCTCACAGCTGTACCTAACCCAAAGAAAACATTTCTAAAGGAAGAGCAGAACTTACTTTATGATACAACTTCTGCTTGGTGTTCAGAGTCTCCAGGTAGAATAGATTTTGTTTAAATAAGTGGATATCAGGCTGGAGAAAAGATTGTCCAAAAGCCTGGGAAATAAAATGAATTTATAGAAACAGAAGCAAACATCTCAAGAACAGACTGAAACCATTTTGAAGAGGTCTGATTAAACCTCACAAGACAATTGAAGAGTATGTAATATTCTTGTTATATCTACCTGTATAACTGTAACTTTCTGGCCACTCCATACCATCCTCTCAGCTTCAACTTCTCCTCAACACTTCTCACATCTTAATTTTGGTATTAAATTGCCCCCTTTCAGGCAAACATAGCATTTTAAAAAAAATTATCTATTATATTTTTATTATATTCTTATATAGCATACTCTTTATAATAAAGAGTATACTATTTATTATTATACTCTTGTAGAGTATAAGCTACTTGAGGACAAAGACTATTTCTTTTTTTGTCTTTGTATATCTGGCATAGAACCTTGCAAAAAGTTGTGACTTAATAAATTCTTGATGAATTAAACTGCACTTGTTAAAATGGGATACAATCACTTAGTCTATTTATATAAATTAACTTCAACTGACACCTTGAGGAACACCTGAGTCTGTATGCCTATCCTAAAACCCATATGTTCTACTCATTGAATATAACTCTCTTTGGATTGTATGCTTTATATGCTATATCTCCCAACCACTACCCTGTTATGAACAGTCTTCATATCTCCTCATCAGGGTAGGCTACCACAACTTATAATTCCTGATAACTTCTTAGCTATGGAAATGGCAGAGATAGTTTGACACCCTGCCCCTGCCCCCTCCCCCCCCCCGAAAAAATGATTACAGATTAAGGGTTATTCCTTGATGGGGGAGGGAAGCTAATGTGGGGACTTCATCTTAGTTGATGTAAGAATAGACAATACAGGGACCTTCTAGGGCAGGTGTGGGGAACCTGCGGTCTTGAGGTCACATGTGGCCTTCTACTTCCTTGGGTGCAGCCTTTTAACTGAGTCCAAGTGTTACTGAACAAATCCTTTTAAGAGGATTTGTTCTGTGAAGTTTGGATTCGGTCAAAGAGCCGTACTTGAGGACCTAGAGGGCCACGTGTGGCTTGGAGGCTGCAGGTTCCCAATCCTTGACCTAACACATTGTAACACATTGGATCCCTGAACTATGTAAGCCTCTGGGAATGGGATATTGTGAATCTTATTTAAGAGATGAACTCTTTAAGATATTCCAGGAGGGTTAAAGATACTTGTGGGAAGAGGGTTTCTATTTTATGAATTTTAAAACATTATTCTGATAACAGGTCCACTGGTTTCAACAGAGTCTGTGACACAAAAAACTAACTCCTAACTTTCTCAAGAATACTTTCTAACTCTTGCTCTATACTGAAGTGATCAATTGAGAGGGTTTTCAAATTACCTGCATGATGGCACTGAATTGTACTTCATTTTCCATCTGCTCTTCTGTAATTCCTCTATGGACACTGGCCAGGACACTGGACTTGAAGAAATACCTCCAGTTGTGATGGAGAATCCGGAAAAGTAGTTCAAACAATTCAGCCTTCACATCAGGAGAGGGACGCTGGGAAACACAGAAATGCCCTTAAATTCTCTGGCTAAGAGGGAAACTACTCATATCAAAGGCTGCTGAGTTGTCTGGTTACAGTAAGATCACAGCTCCTGAGATATGTTTTGTGTGTGGTAAAAAACAAAAACAAAAACAAAAACAAAAAAAAAAACTCCACTTGAATCCTCAGCTGAAATCAACTAGCAATGCTTCAGCTTAATCATAGGTCAAGTTTGGGCTAGGATTTGGAAGCCAGTTTAGAACTTTCCATTTGAAGGACTTGGCAGCAACCTCAACCTAGAAATAATAATTGGTCTTGTTCATATAGTATTTTACCAAGTGCTTTCCTCATGAAAGCCCTGTGAGGCTGGTACAGTTATAAAACTTACTCTTACAAAATAAAAATTTACAAATGAGGAAATGAAAGTCCAGACAGGTTAGGTGACTTGCCCAAGGAACTAGAGAAAGTCAAAGAGGGAGCTCAGGCTCAAGTGTAGGACTCCTAACTCCACTATCCTACAGTGCTACTCAAGGGCTTCTGAGTGAAGGCAGAAATGAGAGTTATTTACTGATTTTTCTGGTTCAAAAACTAGCCAAATTACATTTAACACTCTTACTAAATGCTATTGTGCCTTTTCCCTTTTCTATAATACGAATAAAAAGGAATCAAGCCCCCTTGGGGTGTGGGGTACCACTTTAATAATATTAGCCAGGTTTTGAGGCCCTATAGGATCCTGGCGTAAAAAAGAAAGGTCCAAATATAGGACAGGTGTCATAAAGAGCACCAAGTTAATCTCCAGTTTCTACTATACTTCCAACTTAAGGCACTCAAGATAGAACATGCTCTCTCATACATGGACAGGGCACAGCCATAAAGTCCAGAGCACCTAGCATTTACACACATACACACATACATACACATTATCACTGAAGTCACAGTTACTTTCTCAATAAGCTGTCCTAACCCTACCCTCACTTTGAGTCCATATCACCTAGTAAGGCAGTATCCCAAGATAATGGAATATTTTATTTTAAGAGTAGGTCTCAGGGGCACCTAGGTGACGCAGTAGATAGAGCTCCAGCACTGGAGTCAGGAGGACCTAAGTTCAATTCTAATCTCAGACACTTGAAACTTACTAGCTGTGTGACCCTGGGCAAGTCACTTAACCCGACTGCCTCACCCAAAAAAAAAAGAGTAGATATCTGAGGGATTCACATTAATTTATTAAGGCTCAATTAAATCACAGGGCAGAGGCCAGGAATTCTAAGATCACATTGGATTTAACATACTTAACTCTGTCTTAAGGAAGGATATAATTATAGACTTGTGCATAAAAGATATACACACAATAGGTGCCTCCAAAACTTAAGCCAGCAAAAGAGTAGAGGTAGCACAAATTAATAACTAAAAACTATATTTAAAATAAAATCTTTCCCAACAGTTACCACTGACCTGTTCTTTTTTTTAAACAAAAGTTAAAATAAACTTATTACTCTACAACTGATAATTTTCTGATGAATCCTTTCCAGTAGTTAAACTTCCAAGGCAAGTTTCTCACCACTAGAAATGTGAAGAAGGGGTGGGAGGAAGAAAGACCTTCAAGTACTTGGTCTAAAAACTTAAACAATGTGTCTCACCACCACCACTACCAGCAAGGGGGTCCCTTAGACTTTCTGCACCCAGGCCCTTACCTCAGCTATGATGGGGCAGACTTGCTCCATGCACAGTGAGATGATGCTCGGAAGGAAAGGCTTGAACACTTGGCCGGGTTCTTGCACTACCACCTGGAGGATCTTCAGAAATTTCTCAACTACTCGACAGCCAGTACTCCCTTCATGGAGGATACTTTCAGCTAACTGTTCTCTGAAGAAATGTAAGGGGGAAGGACATTGAAACACAAGAATTTCTTATGGCACAAGCCAATGCAATTCCCAAACCAGCAAGCAGAAGAATTAAAAAATTCTAATATACTGAGTTACTTGTTATCATTCAAACATTTTTATGGAGCTTGAAGCAGCCACAGAAATATTTAACTAATATATCTGCAGTTACCTGGTAAACATGTTTAAAAAGGTCTGTATGATCTGTTCAGTAAAAGGCACACCCATCTGTACTCTAAGGCCTTGAAACAGGGTAAGGAAGAAACTCAGCATCTCGTCAGTCACATCTAATAAACACAAAATAAACCAATCAAAGGCATGATAAAAGTGGTAAACATGAAGCCCTATGCTCAATAAACTGTTCTACAAACTCTATGGCCAATTCTAAACTCTATGGCCATTTTCCCTGAACCCCTTATGCTGAGAGATTATATCCACTGATGCTACTCTAAGCAGTACTGGGAAGGAGAAAAAGATTAAGGACTGCTGAGGAAATAACTTTGGAATGGTCAACCTCTGCCTGAACATTTTTTGGAGGAAATGAAGCTCCTCTGGAAGCCAAATCACCCAGTCTATAAATATAATTATGTGATTTCCAATGCAGAGTAGATAATGGTGTACTCATACAGAGAGAAACAAGTATTTTTGTTAACATATGAGAGGGCTTTATCAATTTCTATCTATGGTCAAAAATCTCCGAGTTTAGGGGATAAGTAGTTAATTGAATGTATGATTCATATTATAGGGACTGAATTAAAAAAAGATGAATTACAAAAAGTACCAGTCACATGCATCGCCCTTCATTTCCTGATGAGAAATTGCCTTATTTGGTACATTCTTGTCCAGATGACATAAATTCTTTGCACATAATAGACAGTCAACAAGTATTTGCTGACTGAGATATTGTTTTCATGGAGTCCAAACAGCACACCAAAAAGACATGCAAACTAAGTCCACATGGCTAGAGTACTTTATGCCAGTGGGACTAAAAAGACACTTGTTATATGTCATTTTGAAGATTGCCAAATTGCATAAAGCAGTTTTCCTCTCACAATTGGATCCAAATTACTCTCATCTACGTCAATCTCCTATGTTAGAGATGACAGGGACTAAAGAAAACTGAAGGTGACAGTGGTTCATGGAAAAAGAAGGTCCCCATCTGACTCATTACCATGGAACATGACCAACCTGCCTTGTTAGATTCTATACTCTCAGAACCAAATTCACCAAACAGAATAATCATTTTCTGTGTTGATTTTCATTCCACTTAAACAAGTTGAAGCTCTATACTTGCACTAACCCTATTTTCTTCAAAGGAGTCCTTAGCCCTCATTCTCATTAGCCCCATAAATCACTGAAAGCCTTGGAGCTCATTCATACCTGACTGATGAATAAAAGCTGGAAAGAGGGCCAGCGAGACCTGAACAGATTCTTGCAGCGACTGATAGCAAATCTGTCGAGACTTTGTAGCTTCCCCAGAGATACTTTCCACGATATCTTCTAAGACACTAAGTGTCTGGTGGATAATCACTTTGGCTACAAATCAAGATTAAGTTACATGTCAGGATGTGTTCCAAGGACCCACCAAGTAAGGAATATGGGGAAGTGTCAACAGTTCAGTTATCAGGTATAACACTCACTGAGCAGCCTCTATGGGAACAAATCAAGTCTTTATTATCTTTATTGCCTACGTATGTACCCTGCAAGACAAAGATATTAAACATACACTCAACTGCGATCCATTTTTAAAAACTTACCTGCTAAGCTTCTCAATAGCCTGCTCAGCTCATTTGCCTCTGTTGAGCCCCACCCACCAAAATAGGGTCCACAGGAAAAATACCAAAATTGCCCTTAAGGAGGCAAAAACACAGATAACTGCATGAATATAGTGGTAATCAAGTCAATTCAAGAGACAGGGTAGCTGTTTTAGGCAAGAGTACAGTAAACATACACATAATTTTTTCTTTCAGATCAAGATAACAGCATAGTCCAGTGGATGAGCACCGGCTCCAAAGTCAGAAGGTCAAATCTTCTCTCTGGGGTTCTCAACTCATATGACCAGACAAATCATTTAATCTCCCTACTTAACCCCCTAAATCCTAGCTTCATCATCTGCAAAATCAGAGTTGGACTAGATGGCCTCTGTGGTCCCTTCTACCTCTGTATCTACTACCTCCAATCCTGGACTCCAGGTAGATCCTGACATTCAGAGGATATTCCAGAAATAGATGATCTTGCTTGATCCTGGCTATCTGTACCCTTAAATTTAGCCAATAGCTAGGAAGGAGGGGTAAAAAAGGATGAACCCATGAACACCAACCAAGAAATCCCTTTCCCTTGAGTTTATCAAGTCTCCAGGTTTTTAATCAAGCTACCACATGGCATTTGGATTCACAGATTCTCCTTACTCAGACAACTGTGCAGAAACCAGGTAAAATGATGTGGCAGATAACTCTTCCACTAAACTGGCTGTGTGGATTCAGGGCAAATCATTTGATCTCTCTGGCTATCAGTTTCCTCCTCCATAAAACACAGATACATCTCTTTCTGCACAGCCTCCAAGTCAATCATATGGATCAAATGAGGATGGATGTGAAAGTTTTCTGAAAACCGTACGCACTACATCAGGTCACTATTGTTATTAACCAATAATCTAATATACTTACTATCTTCAAGCTGCATCTTCCTCTGTGGGACAATGGCACTGGATTTCAGGTGGCGATAGTCTCGGGTCAGAGCTGAAATGAGGCTGGCATGGTTTGTTGAACGCACTGCCCACTGCTGCTCACTTTCTGGGAGATTTGGCCATGGCAGCAGTAGTACATTGGAGAGGGCTCGGCATACCAACACCTGGGCCTAAGAAAGGCAACCACGGACAACCAATGTGTAAAAAAGTATGGGAATCCACAAGCATACACTGGCATCAGAATCATATACATGGGACTTCAACAGGTAATGCAAATACATAAAGACCTCACTCCTGCCTCTTTGGAATTGGCCAAGGAGGAAAGTTTAACTATCATGTTCCTGCCTTAAATTATTACTTTCTCTAAGTGGATAACTATATAAAATGTTTTTAGTAGATTTTCAAAGAAACTAAAAAAAAAATCTTTTGAGTTCCTTGAGTTTGTAGCTAAATATTCTTATCCCCCCCCCCAAAAAAATGCTCCAAGAGCTAATGAAGGGGACTGCTTGTCTGAAATCAGTCTCAAAAATCAGACCATGGTGTACCATATAGGCATTGTAAAACACTCTCACATTTGGAGTCAAAATAACTGTTCCTGAAGGAGAATGATGCAAAATCTCTTTATATGAGCCTGTTCCCAAAGCAGAACTTTCTAAACAGCTTAGGTTAGAAAGAAAACTAGAATGTGATCACCTAACAGTTCAGCCCTAACAATCTGCAAAAAGTAGTCTTTTAGTGAAAGATATGAAGGTAAATACTTATCTAAGTTATGGACAAGAGCCCTAACAATCCAGCCAAAGAACTTATTTCAATTCCTACCTTATCCACAAGCGGCTGAGCAGAGGTATCTGTGATTCTGTTGAATACTTTCTGAACGGCTGGGATGCTGATGAGAAAGACTGGCCGCACTGTAGTGGCTAATGAGACCAGTAAATGGCACGCAGACAAGAGTAACTTCTCTTGTACCTGAGGAAGAATGACAGCACCCAGTAATTCCATTTATCAAAACTGGATACAGGGCAAGATGTTAAAAAGAAACACTGTAAGCTCTTTCCTGAACCAAATTTCAATTATAATGTTGCCACACCACAACTCTCAAATCGCAAGAAATTCCTGCTCTGTGATTTCTCTTAGATTCAACCCTTCCTCACTATCTCCACAGTCTTCACATCTGGACTACTTCAGTAGTCTCTGCCACAAATTTCTACCTGTTGGAATTCACCCTAAACATAACAGCCATGCTTTTTTTCAATCACCCTTTTTTATCTTATTCCCTATAAACTTTAAAATAAAATATAAACACCCTGTTGTCTCACCTATGCACCAAATTCCCACTCTACCTTACCTCTTGATAGTTTCCCATCAAATTCCCTCTGTTCCAATGAAGCCACATCTTGCTCTGTCTGCCTTGGTCATGTTATTTCCCCTGCCTTGCAATGACCTTCTTTACTTAGTGCACACCCTCAAAGATGGGATTCAAAATTCACCTCTCCTCTAAGAAGTTTTGTCTGACTAATGTCACCCAAGAATCATTCTCCAGGTTAATGCTTCAATAGCATTCATCCACAATTTATAATTTATTGCAACCTATTTATTCTTTTCTGATTCCCGTACTTTTTTCCCCCTATTTTCAAATCCTTCCTCTGAGGTTTTTAAAAAACCTATCTCACAAAGCTTAGTACTTATAATAAATTTTATTCATAGTAAGCACTAGATAAGCACATGATAATTGACTCAAATGTGGCCTTCTTACATGTCCTTAGGATAATAGAATAGACTGAAAAATCAATAACTACTGAGTACCTACAAAGAAGCAAAAGACAGTCCCTATACTCCATATTCACAATCACTGGGGGGAGGGGAGAAGTAATAAAACAAATACAACACCATGATATTAAAAAAAAACAAAAACAAAAACAAGAAGTCATCTTATGGTAAGGAACAAGTAAGTGGCAAAGATAAATAACAAAGGAAGGAAATACCATGCTTAGCTATGGGAGGCCACATTTACAACACAATCTCACAATTAGCAGGGATTTGAGAGATCTACTCCGAAAATTATCTTAAAAACATATTCTCTTTACAACATTTCCCACAATAATCATCTAAGACCTGTTTAAAGACAACACTCCCTACACCCGTAACTGAAAATACACTACATGGAGAGGCAGCCTATTTAACTTTTGAACAGCTCTGTTATGAGAATTTCCCCCCTAGATTAAGCCAAAAACTGTCTCCTTCTCCTAAGTCCTATAAAGTTCAGCCCTCCAAGGCCAAGCCAGACAAATCTAATCATAATTCCTCTTCCACGTGACAACCCTTCAAATTTTAGAAAGCAAACAAAAAAGACAGTACTTCCATGACTCTTTACCCTCCCAACCCCAAGTCTTCTCTTCTTCAGGCTAAACAATCTTAGTCACTTCAAATGATCGGCGTGCCTTCAAGACTTTTTATCATCACTTTCTAGCTTACTGATGTTCTTTGTGAAATGTGATATCTAAGAGTTGGATACTTTATATGTGACTTGACCAGAAGACAGTGTGATCATCACATTTCCCTTTATCTGGGGGACTATATATCTACTAACGCAGTCTAGTATCCATTATCACATTGATGGTTCGTGTTGATCTTCAAATCAAAAGCAATTGCCAGTCATGTCATCATCTCCCTGACGTCATGGTCCTCTTTGAGAACGAAGAACAAACCGCAAGCACAGTAAACAATCCACTAAAACACCCAGGTCTTTCATATAAACTGACATCTCACTATATTTTTCCCAACCAATTCGTGTTTAAGTGCAGGACTTCATATTTATCCCTATTACATTTGATCTTTTAGATTCAGCCCACCATTCCCATCTGTTGGGATCTTTTTAGATCCCAATTTTGCATTTATTTCTCACAGTTTTGTGGTAACAGTGAATACAATAATCATACTATATCATCATTAAGTCCTTGGAAATGAACAACGGAGCCAAAGACAATAGTTGTCTACAGCACTCCACTAAAAACCTACCTTCAGGATGACCTTGATCCATTATTCAATACTATGAGTCTAGAAACTCTAACCATAGGCCCACAAAGTCCTGACATACGGATTTGCAAGGCCCTGGAGGATACAAAGATAAACTAAGACCCAGTTCTTGGTCTCAAGGAGTTTACAATCTAATATCTCAAGGTGGATCCTGAAAGATGGGTAAAACTTCAAAAAGTAAATAACAGAGAGATGAGAAAGAATTACAGTTGTCAAGTCCCAAGCCATTTTGAGGTAAGAGGGACTACTATTTCTTAGCCCAGCATATTCTAAATTAAAAGCAATAGAAGCCAAGAATCCAGAAATAGTCAAGCACAAGGTTCTTTTCTACAGTCATTAAATCCCAACACTTTGGACATTAAAAATAAATAATAATCAAAATCTTATCTCATTTTTTTCATAGGCTTCATTTGTTTCTACCATAGTTCCTAATACAATGCTTCAAAACCCTCATGGTAACCACATCTTTGTAGTGAGGAAAAGTCTTTTACCATACCTGTATGCATGAGTTTCTTTTTAAAAGAGAACATTCCCAATGCCAAAAGACTATTAATTGAACATTTTCTATCTGTGATTATATTTCCTTGATCACATTTTATCATGCTTTCCTTCTGCAGAAAAATGTTTATTGGATAAACCTGAATTTAGGAGAAGAAGTTCTGAGGACAATAAGTCCAATTCCTTATATCCAGTTGTCAAATCCAATTAATGGATATTTACTGGAAAATGTGCAAAGCAAAACCAAATACAGGCATTTCCTACCTCCATTCCTTTTTTAAAAATATAACATGCTTTTGGAGAAAACTTAAAGTAGACCACTCAAGATTAAATATTGACTGCACATGGATCATACTATCCTGAGCGTGAACACACTGCTGCCTTTACCTGTTCAAACGTCAGCAGAAACTAGCAAAAGATGAGGTAAAGGCAACAAGAAGATATAGGCCCGAAGAGGCAGTATAGTCTACTTGTAGAAAGAACACCAGAGTAAAAAAACCTGATTTTCATCCTTGGTTCTCTCAAATACTAGTTCTGAGACCTAGGGGAAAACACTTAACCTGAATAACATAAGTTTGTTACCTTACTGGAATGTTTTGAAGAAAGCACCTATAAGCTATAAAATGTTATACACATAAATGTAATGACTGCCCATGTATCTGGGTCAAATGCAGAACAGGTGCACACACACAGGTGTTCAACATAAGCATTTA